ACCCTTCTTGTTGCTGCTGCAAGTGGGATGCTTTTTGTTCAATTTTTTATAGCTCACCTGTTTACATGTTAGTAAGAGTTAAATACAGGGGCAGGGGCACTTTGAGTGAATGATGGATGATGGCACAGGAAGCTGTAAAACATAGCTAGTTCAAGGTCAGGCCAATGAACTCAGCCTGTTAACTGCATCTTTGCTTTTGGTGTCTTCTGGAGTGTTTTTAAGGAAATCTAATAAATAATATGACCTGATGTGTGTTACATGTCATGTTCAACCAAGAACCATGTTTCTTAAAGCTGTTTAGCCTGCAGCCACCTTTTATTATACAGTGAGTGGTTAAAACTATCAAATGTGTACTGAAAGAAAAAAAACAAGATGAAAATGTAAATACTGTAAAAAGTGTAAACACTGCTCTCTGTTCAGTTCTCAGAACTGATCTCATTCTCCACCCTCACCGCCTCCCCGCCCACATAATTCAGGCTTTTCAACAGCCCGTTGCTATTAGATACTGCTGGGCCTATCACCATGGCAGCAAATGCTCAATAATTTTCCCTCAACTATGTTTCCGTGTGCAAGCTCTCGCACATACACAACCCTCCCACATCACATTTAGCTGTGCAGAAACGTCCTTGCGTGTTCCCAGGTCCAGTTGGGGAACAGCCCACCTGCAAACAGAATTCAGATGCTGTGACAGGATCGAGATGCTCTGCCGCACATTAGAAGATGACTTGTTTTAAAATCATTTTTCAGAAGCAGGCTGTTACAGCATGACATAACGTGTTGCTGAATTTTTTTGTGCCACCATGCGCCCTGTGCATGTGTGGTTTTTCTGACGAATTGATCTCATTTCTTCCTGAAGTTTACAGAGCGCTTGCTGCTGCTCAGATGTGCTGAGAACAAAGAGCCTGTTTTCTTAAAAATGTAAATGATGTGACTCAGGATTTCGACTCACTGACAGCTGAAGACATACAGTACTTTCAAAATATTTGCAAGGTTGTGTCAAAACACTGTCACTACTGCTGCAGCAATGAGCCAAATTTGTATATATGCTGCCATACTGCTGTCTTTAGTGTGTGCGTGACGCAAATATATTAATTTTCCTGCGCACATTTACACTTCGTCCTTGCACCTGATCTATCAAAACCATTTTACCTCCAGTGTGCTAATAAGAAACAACTGTAACAACGGCCGTGACTTGAATGTCCACATCATGTGTCCATGTCTCAGGAAGCTGATGTCAGCTCAGGGAAGATGAAATGAACAAACAGAGAAAAAGAAAGGTGAGGCAGGGAAAGGAGAATTGGGAGAGTGAGAGGAGAGTTGGTGGTTTGGGGTGGGGGGTTTAGGCAGAGCTGATTTTCTTTCTCCAATAAAAGCGACAACCCCTCCTTGTTGCTATGGCGACCCCCTCTCTCTCCCTTCCTTTCAGCGAGCTACCACTTATCCTTGCTGCCTTTCAGTCAGCAGGGCATGTGGGTGTGCGTGCTTTTGTGTGTTGGCTCTTGAATGAATCAAGCAAATGAAGGGGAGAGCCATTAGAGACCCAAGTCAGACTATGTGACATGCACACACACACACACACACACACACACACACACACACACTCACATGCGTGAATACACACACACACATGCATGAAGAAATATATACGCACACACACACACACACAAACACACATGAATACACACACGCATGCATGCATTATTACACATTAGTAATTATCATTTTGCAAAAAAAAAAAAAAAAGCTTCATACTTTTCCGTTGGCTGACTTCTGAGTTCTTTTCTTTTTCTCACTCTTTTTTGGCTCTTTCGTTATCACAGCATATTCTGCAGGAGCGACTCGCTATCATCTACTTTCTTACACAACCATCTGGCTGACTTTCAACCACAATGCACCCACTCAAATTATAATGATAAACACAGCGCTATATAAATGTATTTAACTTTTACTTCCTCTTTTTTTTTAAACAAGCAAATTATAAGTGATTGGAGGATAGCCTCAAATCCAACTTTCATGCCACCACTGGCTGTGTTAAAATGTACTTAGAGGTCTAATATCAGATTACAACATAGAGAAAAGCTTTGCGACTACTGTTCTAATCTTGTTACTCTTCACTTCCCACCTTTAATAACCTCTTTAAGTGCTAAAACAAAAAATGCATGTCCTCATGTAAGTTTTTAACGGCTCCCAGCAACGTTTGATCCAGCGCAGACTCAGGATGTCACATCCCTGAACTTTTAATATTTAAAGCATGCATCTAAAAACTGATGGATTTTGGTGTGAGTGTTCAGGGAGTAATCATTCTTCATTATATTTTCTGTAATATATATATAGTAAGTAGCTGTGCTATCTAATATACTTCCTGTAATATAATACTGTATATGGGGACTGCTATTAATCTGTGGTCTCCCAAAAGCATGATCTGACAGTAGAAGTAGTCTAAGAATCCACTAATGGATTGCCATAAATATGGATGATCCTTGCAAGATGAGATGGGTGCTCTGATCGTGCTGGTGGAATATTTGCATGTATCAGTACTGACTTTATATTAAGTCGTGCATTTCTATTTGAATCCACTGTGGTTTGTACTCTGCATTTACACTAGTGGATATACATTAAAACTGATCTAAGTCACCCTATGTTTGGCTATGTTTTTGGTTTTTTTGTCTCAGTTCTTGAAGAAACTTGTCTTTAGAAGCTAAATGCTGCAACATGTTCTCCAGTTACTCGATAATTATGTCTGTCTGCTATTTGGTGCTTGTTAGGAAGGAAACTGGGAGCTTTTTTTTGGCGGGTTCAGTGAAAACAGCTCCTGACAGAGACAGGAAACAAAGAAAGATAGTCATGGTCTGGAAAGAAATTGAAAAAGTGATGTCAAGAAATGTAATCTGCAAAGCTTCCAGTTTACAAAGTCTAAAATGGTTTGTCCACAATCTGGAAAAAGAGGGGTTTTCTGATTCCCTAGCTTAACTGGTAACTTAAATGATCTGCATAAACACTATACAAACGCATTATATAAACACTATTCTTAAAAACAGAAAACTCTTGAAATTTAATATGGAAACATTGTTTGTCTGGAAACGGGAAACAAGAAGTCTTTTATTGAAAAATGTTTTTGATGACCTATCCATGCACCCTGACCTCCTCGCTGTTTGGACTTGGTAAGTGTCTGTCTCACCTCAGTTCTTTAATCATGTCGTATTCACCCTAAAGGGTGCTTCATCAAACTCGTTTTACATCATGTGCTGTTTAAATCCCAATTTCAGCTTAAGCGGGCCAGACAAGTTAAGCTAAAGTCCAGTAAACGATTTTTAAAAAAGCACCTCCAAATCTGATTTTACAGAAGGTTTACTAGAATTTGTTTACTTGAATTTCCTGCAGTGCACTTTCAAAAATATGTTTCAGTTTTTTCACATTATGAAGACATGCTGCTGTAGTAATTTAAAGAAACTCATTAGCACGCTCCATTGGGCTTTCACTGTAAGAAATAAAGAAATTAATCCTCTAATTAAAAAGTTTTTTATGTCTTTTACTGTTAAATTTAAAAAACTTAATTGTTATTAATATCAATGCTAAGAAATCAGTTTATTTTCTGGTGTATGACCATGTTTTGTGTCTTAATAAGAAAGATGACAGAAAAACTAAAAAACAAATGGTAAAAATAAAAAATGTGTCCCCTCCCTCTTTGAAATGCTCAACTTTTTTAAAGCCATACCGTGGGCCAGACTGGATTCTCTGACAGGCTGGTTCTGGCTCCTGGGCCTTATGTTTGACACTCCTGCTCTAGATGGTGCAACACACTAATTCTTCAGTGTCATCAGGGGGTGACCAGCCTCACTAAAGTATAGCAACCTTTTTGACAGGTACAAGTACACAGCTTATAGCGCACAGCATGCATTTATACTTGTCACTCAAAACAGCAAGTGTGTGTGTTTTTTAATGTTATATCTCCTTCTGTAATGAAATCTTATACTTAAGAGGCATAACAGGCATAACAGCAGTACTGTTATGCCTGTGACTGTTTGCTGATACTCGTGCGTACCAGTGAAACCACAAATCCTGTTTACAGATTAATCCCAGTTTGACTCCTGAGGATGAGCTTTCACCTTTCCTGTTGTCACTGGAGTCCGTGTTAATTTAAAATACATATTCTATGCCGAGATGTGATTAGGGACCAATATTAGACTCGCTTAAGTCATGCTGTTTGAGCTGCATACCTCTCTGCTCATCAGCGCACTCCATTAATATGAAAGGCAGGTTTTGGTTTTCAAGTCACATTTACTGTCAGCACTCAAATGCATCTCACTGCTGTAACTGAGGGTGCTATATGCAAAAAAAGACGCCACTTCAGTCCCTGTCTGCTTTGATTTTAAACCATTTATATATGATATACTATACACTGCACACCTCATTTGTATTGCTGAAGCCTGGAACATGCTACAGAGTAAACATTTATACTCTACCCTCTCTTTTTAGTCTATAG